AGTGAGTTTTGAGAAACTTCTTTTTCTCTAAAGTGGTCTTGATAAAGACCTTGAGTTTACTTCTTATTAGTAAATCCTTCTATCATGGTGAAGATCTTGTGGCTTATCTCACTTTAAGAGTGACGTCAATATTCATCTCATTTTTTTTCCATTTTTTCTTTGCAATTTCTTGTCTGATTGTATTTTTCATCAAGGAATCAAAGATCGGTGATTGATGTTTCTCTAGGAACGATCCGCACAATCAAAGGAATGAAGCAATTCCTACATCACCAAAGAAAGTGCATGGAAGAAGAAGTGGGCAAAGAAAATGGAGAAGGAGATAGAGAAGAAGGTGGGCTCGAGGATGCAAAGGGAGGTGTAGCAGCAACATATGCAGATGCAGCAGATGCATGCATATTTTGAGCTTATGAGAGTAAGCAACTTCATACCTCTTCCTCCTCCTCCACTAGCTCCAACACTACCAATTTTCAGCTCCATGCGTTATTTCTCCTCTGACTCTTCCTCTATTGATGGTGATACTTTTTTAGAAGATGATCACACCGTGATATAAAATATTTTATTTTTAACATTATTTATTGAGATGTTTACTTCTTCATTTGTAATGACATTTTACTTTTACATTTTATAAATAATTTCTAATTTTAAATATATAATTTTGTAGTTTTTATTATGTTTATAATTTGTGATAATTAGAAACAGTGAGGAATAATTATGTATATAAAAAAATGAAATTTTTTTTTGAAATTTCACAAATGGATTACAAACAGATTCAAATTATTTACCGACTCGCATATTATAGATAGACTAGAGCTATCTATAAATCCGTCTATAATGCTAGAATTCATCTGTAATATTTAAAAAAATTATCTATAAATCCGTTTATATTTACAAGTTTTCTAGTAGTGTATTTCATTTTACATGTCTCAGCACAACAATCCAACTTTTACAATCAATCACATAGTTTGGTGTTCTACCTTAGGGTTTGTTCATACATCAACTCATCTTCAGCTAAAGCGAAACTATACATATAAATGTCTCAACATCTAGTGAATGAACAAGGGCAGCTCAGATAAACTCTCCTTACCTAGAATGAGAGATTGAAGCTTTCATGAGTTTTAAAGAGAGAATAAAGCTTAAAGTCCTCAGGTCTCCCTATTATGACGAAATAGAGACCCTTGAGAAGATAAATCAAGGGGAGAAAGGGTAGAATAGGGAAAATCAAGTCCCAGAAACTCACCTAGATCTATACTAAGTGGATGTTCTCACTTGAAGCAGGAAGAAGATCAGACTTGAAAAGGTCTTCTCATAGGGAGGGAGGTGAGAGAATAGAAGAAAGGTGAGAAGAAATAGTGGTTTGGTGAGAAATGAAAGTTTTCAGTTCAAAATCTCCTTAAATGCCTCTTAGCTCGTGATCTTCTTACTACAGTGAGTATCTCTAACTACAGTGAGATATACCAGACAATGAAACCTTTCTGTGTCTGTCATTTTCACTGCAACAAAAATTTTCTCGTTGTCGCTCCAATGAGAGTTTTACTTTGGTCAATCTTATCCACTTCTCATTACAGCGAGAGAGCTCCATAATGTTTTGTTCTAAATGACCCATTCTCGCTACAGCGAGATATCTGCAGTTTTACATCAACCAACTATCCAAAACTCACACAACATGTACCAGCTTTCTACCTAACAACTATTCAGCTTATACATATATGATTCAAGTCATTTCATACCATAACTGACATACAACATTACATTCAAAACACAAGGACACCGTAGTTAAATGATTACAACATCAAGTTTAAAAGTTAATAAGCAGACACATAACACAGGCACATCATGTTTAGTGTTTACATGCCCATGAATAATCATATAAAATAATTTGCTTAATTAAATGTCTCTCTTTAAATAGTGACAAGATAATTGTAAAAGAGTATTTATTATAATTTTATAACTTTAATACAATAAATGCTTGTTTTTTATTAAAAAATTTATTCATGGATGCTTAGTTCAGCCTTAAGAGTCATTTAAAAATATGGTGTTTAGTCATTAACTTCTAAGAATGTTTCTTATCACAATTGTGAAGCTCTTTATCATAATGTGTATGGATACCAACAAAAAAACATTTTTACACATTTATTAGTGCATGGATCTTTTCTATTAAATGAATTAAAGTCACGTACTTATAGAATAAATTAGAGTCACATTTTTCCAAGTGTTTATCTTCACCTTTACTTGTTTGGAGATGGCTTGTGATATTCAATGCTTTGTACAACATCATGTTTAGTGTTTACATGCTCATGAATAATCATATAAAATGATTCACTTAATTAAATGTCTCTCTTTAGATTGTGCCAAAATGGTTATAAAAAAGAGTATTTATTATAATTTTATAACTTTTTTAATACAATAAATACTTATTTTTATTAAAAAATTTATTTATGAATGCTTAAGTTCAGCCTTAAGAGTCATCTAAAAATATAGTGTTTAGTCATTAACTTATAGGAATGTTTCTTATCGCAATTGTGAAGCTGTTTGTCATAAGTGCATGGATACCAACAAAAAACATTTTTACACATTTATAAGTGAATGAATCTTTTTCGTTAAACAAATTAGAGTCACTTACCTATAGAATAAATTAGAGTCATATTTTTTTAAGTATTTGTCTTTGTCTTTAATTGTTTACAGGTGTGCTTGGAATATTCAATGTTTTGTACCAAATCATGTTTAGTGACATGCCCATGAATAATCATATATTTTCTTATAAAAATAAACATGAAAAAGTCATCTTCATATCTTTCCCTAAATACTAAATGATATGTCCATTTGTTGTGAAGTTCCATCCTATCTTGACTCAATGTTTCTTGATTTTCTTATTAGAAATCCTATTTGGTTGTGTTTCATGAGTAATTTTTTTCAATAAATTATATCACATCATGTTTAATTAAGTGTGATGGATCATGAACATATTTTGAAAGTTATCGAACATTGAAAATATAATGTAATTTTGAAAGAAACAGGGATAATGCTAATATATAAGTAATTGAGTAAAATATTTTTAAATTTTGGTAGGTCTAATAAACAGGGGGTAAGTTTAGGAGATCTAATTATGCTATTAATCCTAATCAATAGAGTAACTTTCAAGAAAATATAATTTCTAACTTGAAATTTCAAAAGTTTTTTTTTTTGGCATAACTTCTTTATCAATCCTAAAAAATCTTTAACTTGTCTTAATTTGCTCTGATAATTTTAGTTGTTGTGCCGTCTCTAGTATGAGAATTAAGGTCTCACTAGTTGCAAACTAATGCAACAACATTTGATATCTTCTATATAAGGTTTCAAAGGGTGTCATCCTAATCCTTGAATGCATACTATTATTGTACATGAATTCAACCAATACCAAAAATTGATCTCATTTTATATTTTAAATCGTTCTTTTAGATTATCGAGTTTGTGCGTAATAAATTGAACTAAGTCTAAGTTGAGTCTCTGAAGACTTATGTAAACTCTCCTATATTTTGTAACTAAATCTATGATCTCTTATCAGTATCAAATATCATACTATTTAATACTCTTTACAATTAATTCTTCTTTTATTTTTAAAAATTCTAAATATTAAAATACTTTTTTTGAAAGTCTTCCCTTCTCCTTATTTTTTTTTCATTAAGAGTTGTTTAAGAAAAAGAGTTTTGGAGAGAAAGGAAAAAGATGAAAATTTTTATTTTAAATTAGTATTTTTTTAAAAAAATTATAAATTGATATATTAACATAAATTTTATATATTAATCATACATTCATTATCATAAATAATATATAATTCTCTTGATTTAAAATTAAAAAAATATCCTCTCCTCTTTTTTTCTTCTAAAAATCTTCTTTCAAACATATTTTTAAAAATAATCTTACAAACAAAGTTAGAGAAAGAAAGAAGGAAATGATTTGTAAGTTAAGAGAGGAAAAGAAAGGTTAAATTCTTTTCTTGTTTACATGTTAAAATTTTTTAAAATAAAAGAACTAAAAAATTATAAAAGAGTGTTTCGAAAGACATCTAAAAATCTTTAAACTTTTTTATTGTTTTTTTTAATACTCTTAAATAAGAAAATATCTCTTACAAATTTTATTTTTTCCTTCTTATGATATTTGTGTTAAAAAAATTATATAATAAAAATGAGCTTATAGAAAAGTAGTTAATCTTATATGATTGTCTTTAAATTTGAATTACATTTATTTTTATTAAAATTTCAAATTTAGAGTTGAGATCATTTTAATTTTAAAAAAAATAATTTGACACTGTAAACTTACTGTGATTTAATTTTTTATATATAGGATTTAATATTATATATATATATATATATATATATATCAAAATATAATATTTTAAAAAAAGTATAAAAATATGGGATTCAAAAATTGTTACAGGTAATTTTTTAAATATTATAAAATTATAAAAAGTCAAAACTTGTCCATAACATTATTTTAAAAAATAATATTTTTTTAAAGTATCCAAAAACGTCATCGGTAATTCCACATTTTCGTAATTTTACTTCAAATATTTTGATAAATTTTTCTTTTTTTTTTTTCTGTACAAAATAAAAATATACTTTTATGTCGCATGCTACTTGACTTGCTTGAAGTTTTAAAATGTGCAAATTGATGCTTAAGGTTTTAACCACGTGGAGATTAATCTTTTGTTCAAATTTTTTCCTTTAATCTTAACCGAGACAGTCACGGGACTAGTACATGACACAATTTCTTTCAAGATTGTCCTAGAAAATTGATTAAGTATTTTTAATTTATTATAATAAATTTCTTTATATAAATGATCATAATAAATTGTTTTTAAATATACTTTAAATTAATTTTATTAAATAAAAACTTAATTAAACTATATTTTTAATAAATATCAGTCACTAAAAAAATATTACTAATTTTTTATTTTATTTTCACACTATTTCTGAAATCTTTTTTTCTGTGTTTCTTGCTTCCATATCTTTTTTTTCATCCAAAAGGTGAAAGGACCGTTTACTTCTTCCCCTGCTTGGTTTGGACGAACAAAACAGTCTCTACTACCTCTCTTTCACTTATCTCTTCCCTCCTTTCCGATTCCTCATATTCCATGGCACACAAGCTTTTCAACGGTTACTTCACAACTCTCAATTGCCTTTGTATTCTTCTTTTTTGCTTTTATTTTTTAAATTCTCTTCATTTGTGTCTCTTTCTCAGCAAACAAACAGAGAGCACACGCATAATCACGAACACTCTTTTGACTGTTGTTCGATTTGTTTTTGTGACCCTCAGAGGATATTCTTGAGCAACTGAGAAATGGAACTGCGAAATTTGAGCTCGTTTCTTCCGCTGTTCCTTCAGTTGCTGCAACTCCTAACCGGAACAAAAGCTTATTTGGAATTGGGAATTGTAGCACTCTCTTTTTCGCTAGAATTGGCTCATCCTTGTGAGTTTTCCGTTTCTTCTTTTGGTTTTTCTCTGTCTCTTGCACTTTTCTTTTTTAGGTTGAAATATATTTTTAATATCTTTACGTGACAATCATTTTCAATTTAGTCCTTAAATGAAAAAAAGAAGCAGCAGCTTAATTATTCATACCATACTTCTTAATTTAATCCTGGATGACTTTGTCGTAATAATATAGTGTATTGGAGTTATATATACGGGTCGATGGAGTGTTGAGACTAGATGCGATTGGATGAAAAACTTCTATGCGTTTATTTAATTACTTAATTATGTGAAAGCTTAAATCATGAACTTGATTGTGAAGCTTATTGTTAAAATAAATTAAATTGAGTTTCACCGTAAACTTGATTGAAATAAGTTAAAAGAGTTTGTAAGCTCCGTGTAAGTTCTTTCAAATGCCTCATCAAATGCAAATTTGGTGTCATAAAAATATGTGCCAGAAATACTATATTTTTAGTCCTGTAAGAATTCCTACCCTTCACAATAACTCCATGTTAATCTCATGGTGTTCTACACTAATTGGAGATGACGAAAATGACATTGAAAATGGCAACATATGGTGAAGATAATAATCTAGTTCAAAACTTTTTCTGTATCAGAACTAAATTGAAAATGAGGGTCATGTAAAAGGATAAAAAATGTATTTTAACCAATCATTATTGTTGTTGCTGTTGTGGGAACAAAATGGGTCTTTCTAGTTACCTCAAAGCCTTAGTCAAAGGAAATTAATATGTTAAAATTTCATGAATTCATGGGGGGCATTCAAATTAACAGGTTTGGTTGATAGTTTTGAATGTGTATCTCTGGAAGGGAAAGGTAAAAGCCAGATGTTTGTGTTTCTAAATTTTAAAGTGCTATATAGGTTCATTGATATTGCATTTTTTTCTTTTATAGAAAAACTGTATCTTTCTTAAAAGTGAATCTAATTTTAACTAGTTTCTTAATGGTTTAGAATTTTGATGAGTTTGCTTTCGACTATGTCTTCACAGTGGTGGACAGTCTCCAGCAATGAAGAAACTTGAGCGTTTTTCAGTTCAGAAGGTTACAGGAGATGGACGGTGTTTGTTTCGTGCATTGGTATCATCTTATACCTTCTGTTCTATAGAATTAAGAGAAAGAGAACATAAAGAGAGAGGCAGATTAGTATGCTAGAATTAAATGCTCTACAATGTGTAGAGACCCTTATATTTATAAGGATACATATGTAACCCCACTGGACCAAGCCCATTATTATAATACTAATATAAACCCTAATCCTAATACGTCTATTATAGCTATTCATAATACTCTCCCTCAAGCTGGAGCATAGATATTAATCATGCCCAACTTGTTACAAATATAATTGCTACGTGTCCCATTTTAAAGCTTTTGTAAACATATCTGTTAGTTGCCTATATAAGCTTCTGCTGAACTTTTTCTTGAATAAAGTGACAGTTTATCTCAATATGTTTCGTCCGTTTATGAAAAACTGGATTTGAGGCAATGTGTATCGCTGCCTGATTATCACATCAAAGTTGCATAGGCTTAGTGCTACTAAATCCTATCTCTTCCAACATATGTTTCAACCACATAAACTCACAAGTAGTCTAAGCCATTGCCCTGTATTCTGATTTCGTACTTGATCTCGATACAATGTTCTGCTTCTTATTTTTCTTCGAAATTAAATTACCTCTCAAGAATACACAGTATCCGGTAATAGATTTTCTGTTTATAGGTCCTGCTTAATCAGCATCAGAAAATGCCTCTATCTGTGCATGTCCATGATCTTTGTACACAATTTCTTTTTCTAGTGCTTTCTTCAAATACTTCACAATGCGGATTAGTGCTTCCCAATGAGTATCTGTTAGAGATGACATAAACTAGCTAACAACAATCACTGGAAAAACAATATCTGGTCTTGTGACAGTCAAGTAATTTAGCTTGCCTACTAATCTTTTGTATTTCTATGGATCTGTAAAAGGAACTCTATTTGCTGTCAGTTTCACTCCTAGCTCCATAAATGTCTCACATAGTTTAGCTCCTTTTAGTCTGGTCTCAGTCAATAAGTTTAAGACATATTTTCTCTATGAAAGGAAAATTCCTTGCTTGGAGTACATGACTTCAATACCCAAGAAGTTATAAAAAATATGGCTGAATGACTTGCCTGTCATGTTTCTAGTTTCCATTCAATATATAGATCAATATACAAACAATAAGACTGATCTTTAGGCTAAATTAAAGGGATATGCTTATTTCTAGGTAGGCTAATTCCTAAACTGATATGTAAGGATTACAACTAATCAATCTAGCATTTACACCTATTTAAAGTATATAAAAACAATCTCTACACATAAATGATAATTATATACAATAACATCCCCCCTCAAATTGATGCTGGTTGATCAAGAAGCATTAATTTGCTAACAAGAAATTGATGACGTTGTCTTGTGAGAGACTTGGTAAAAACATCTGCTATCTGTAAACTTGTGGAAACATGAGGAAGAGAAATGATTTGAGTGTCTACAGCTTCCCGAATATAATGATAATCTACTTCAATGTGCTTTGTGCGCTCATGGTAAATTGGATTAGCAGCAAGTTGAATGGCACTTGTGTTGTCAGCATGAAGAGGAGTGGGTTCAGCTTGAGGAAAACCAAGTTCAGTCAACAATCCTCGAAGCCAAGTGATTTCCTAGCATGCAGCAGACATTGCACGATATTCAGATTCAGTAGATGATTTGGAGACACGATCTTGCTTCTTACTTTTCCAAGATATCAAGGAGTCTCCAAGAAACATGCACCAACCAGTAGTAGAGCGACGAGTATTGGGAAAATTGGCCCAATCAGCATCGCTAAAAGCAATAAGTCGTAGGGGAGACCCAGTGGAAAAAAATAGATCACAAGAATTAGAACCTCGTAGATATCTAATGATGCGACGAACAACAACCAAATGCAAATGTCTTGGAGAATGCATAAATTGACTGACTTGTTGTACAACAAAGGAGATATCAGGCCTAGTAATAGTTAAGTAGTTCAAGCTGCCTACTAATTGTCGATACAATAAAGGATCAGGAAGGAGATCTCCCTCGTTAGCATGGTACTTAACATTTACCTCTAGAGAAGTATCAACAGATGAAGAATCTTGAAGACTAGCTAAAGAAATCAAATCCTGAGTGTATTTATGCTGGTGTAAGAATATGCCAGATGGACTAGTGTGAACTTCCAGCCCCAAAAAATAAGTAAGATTGCCAAGATTCTTCATATGAAAGGAATCATGAAGATGTTGCTGAAGTTGTGTAATCAATAAAGGATCTGTCCCAGTGATAACAATATCATCTACATATACTAGAAGTAGAATAATTTCATTAGAAGTCTTACGAAGGAACAAGGAGGAGTCATATTGGCTTTGCACAAGCTGAAACTTAAGCAATGTGGAGCAAAACTTCTGAAACTATGCTTGCGGTGCTTGTTTTAAGCTATAAAGAGAGCGATTCAACTTACAAACCTCCTTAGTAGAAGAGGAAAACATACTAGAAGGTGGCTTCATGTATATATCTTCTTTGAGATCACCATGGAGAAAAGCATTTTTGACATTTAATTGATAAAGAGGTCATTCTTGTGAGGCAGCAATGACAATGATGGTGCGAACAGTAGTCATTTTTGCCACAGGAGCAAATGTCTCCTCATAGTCAACCCCATACTCTTGTTGATTTCCAAGAGCAACCAACCTAACTTTATAGCGATCCAGAGTCCCATCGGAACGAAGTTTGACTGAGTAAACCCATTTACACCCAATGGGCTTAATATGAGGTGGACACTGAACAATGTCCCAAGTTTGATTTTCTTGAAGAGCACGAAGTTTCTCTTGCATCGCTCGTTGCCAACACTCATTAGAAGCTGCCTATGAGTAAGAAGATGGAACTGAAATAGAAGTCAAAGCAGCAGTATATGACGTATGATAAGAACTGTACTTATCCGGAGGACGAGAAACTCGGCTGGATCGTCTCAAAACTAGTGGAGCAGCAGTAGATTGCAGGTTTGGATCAGAAGGGGGGACAGTGATGAAGGAGGACGTAGGCTTGAATCGATTTATATGAGATATGAGTTGGGAACAAAAAATTGATTTTCAAAGAAAACAACATTCCGAGAAATGCATAGTCTTTTTGAATTAGGATCATAGCAAACAAAACCTTTGTGATTAGCACTATATCCCATAAATGCACATTTAACAGATTGAGCAGAAAGCTTATGACGTTTGTGAGGTGGCAAATGAACAAAACAAACACAACCAAAAGTATGCAGATATTGGTAGGATGGATGACTATGATAAAGACGAAAATATGGTGTGTGTCAAAATTCAGTGTTTGGGAGGGTAAACGATTAATGAGATAAACTGCAGTAGATAAAGCTTCTACCCAAAAACTAGGTGAAACAGAAGATTCAAGCAACAAAGTACGAACCACATCTAAGAGATGACGATTTTTTCTTTTCGCCACTCTATTCTGCTGGGGTGTGTATGGACAAGAATGTTGAGAGAGAATACCTTTTTTATTCAAAAAATCATGTAGTGCATTAGACATGTACTCGCCACCAGAATCAGATCGAAGTACCTTAATAACTGTAGAGAATTGAGTTTCAATATATGTAAGAAAAGTTTGAAAAATAGAGAGAAACTCAGATTTAGAGCGAAGAAAATAAATCCAAGTAAACCGGCTGTAGTCATCAATAAATGTCACAAAATATTTATAGTTGGCATGAGAAATAACAGGTGTGATCCCCCATACATCACTATGAATAATATCAAAACAGTGTTTTGCATGACTACCAATTATTGGAAACAGAAGTATTTTACTTTTTCCCAATTTACATGTAGAACAATCAAAAGACACGGGTTTAGTGTTTTCCAAACAACCAGAATTCAACAAACGAGACAAAATGACAGAATTGGGATGTCCCAATCGCCTATGCCATACTTCACTTTTATTGACATGAGTAGAAAATGCCACATGATAAGGAATAAAAAATTGCAGAGGAAACAAACGTCCAACTTTAGGTCCCTTCGCGATCACTGTCCCCGACACCAAATCCTGCACACAACATCCGTCAAGAGAAAAATGTACATCACAATCATTTTCCACTAATTGTCCAACTGAAATGAGATTATTAGAAAGTTCAGGAGATACAAAGGCATTGTTCAAAATTGGAACAATATCTCCAACAGCAGAATGGGTATAGTGTGTCCATTAGCGACTTGGATTTGTTCGAAACCATTGTATGGGCGAACATTTTGCAGATAATTTTCTGAGCTAGTCATATGGTTTGAGGCTGCAGAATCAATAAGCCAAGAATTAGATGATGATTTTTGATTACCTTGAAGCCCCAAAGCAGAGAAAGCAGAAATAATCATTTGTTGCACCATGTCAGCAGTAAGAACGGTGGTTTCAGCACTATTATTGACTACAGAAGGAGGTGAGGTCCCATATGTAATTTGACCAAAAGATTAATTTCCTATAGTAGCTTGGTAGGCAATAGGTTGGCGATTTTGAGGCCGAATTGAACACTCTTTGAGAACGTGTCCTGGCTTTTTGCAATAATTGCAGATTTTTTTGGTACATTGTGTAGCAATGTGACCATAATTCTTACAACTATAACATTGAACTTTACTCATATCCCTACCTTTGTCTCTTCTTTGAGCCAAAAAGGTTAGAGGTGCAGCAGTCAACTTGTCTTGATCAAGAGAGGCTTGAGTAAAGAGACGTTGTTCTTCACGAATCAACTCACCAAAGCAATCATCCAAGGTAGGAGAAGGATGACGATTCATCAAATGAGAACGAATATTTTCAAAATCCGGTCGAAGCTTCATCAGAAACTTATCACGTTTGCTTGCTTCATGAACAACCAATATATCAGAAAGAGAAGTTGTGGAAACAGTAGCACAAACAATATCAGAAAATTCAGCCCATAAATTTTGAAATTCAGAAAAATATTCCTGAATAGACAAGTTTTCCTAAGAATAGTTAGCAATTTCGCACTTCAACTGAAATCTTCTAGCTGAATTTGTTTGATTATAAACCTTCTTCAAGTAGTCCCACATCGTTTTG